ACCAACGAAACGGCACTCCTGTGATTAGACCATTTCGACCTGGCTAGCTTGCACTTCTGGTTGGTGTTAGCAGTACGCAACTAGTCGGATTGTTCAAACAGTAGTATACGGTATCAAATATGTATGCTTGTTTTCTAGATTCCCACTTATGGAGTCATATCGATCACATCATTTCTGAATAATTTTGGTTTCCAGAGGAAATTTTTGTAGTTTTCTATGCTCAATTTTGATTTTCAAACTAAGAATTTGAGACATACTATAAATGTATGGGAGGATGGAAGATAAGAAATAATAACTTTTGTTAATGAGGAAAATGGAAGAACTTTTAATTTTCACTTCTAAAGCCACTTCTGAGTAATTATATCAATTGTGTCACCCCCTATTACTCAATAATAGACCACTATATATTTTCTGTGAGTATAAATACGATTGTACAGCCTCTGAAGATGATTTCGTCGATAAAGAAAATTTTCTTCGCTGAATCTGTCTTTTATTTTCTTTAAAATGGAAGTACTTTCTTTATTTAAGATTTCACACAACACTGAAGTCAGTTAGCATTAAAGATGTTATCTGAAAGCCTCACAGTCATATCTGTTGGCGATCTGATTAAATCATCGGGCTACCAGGATTTCCACCAGTCAAATTGCTTGGAACCTTCTGTATTCCTTATTATTGTTGTATCATATGATCCCTACATACACTCGCACTCATATTTAATTGGCCACCGAGTAGGCACCGCTCAACTCCTGAAGAAAATGGAGAAAAGACTTACAGAATTGGTTCTGTCTTTATAAATAACGACACCACTTCATATGATGTACTTCAAACTATTACTTTACGTTTATGTCTTGAGAGGAAATGAAATATTTTGGGACTAAATACGGTGAAAATACCTGTCAAATGTTTTACATATTGCCAGAAATAAAGCTTAAAGTTGTAACTATTGTATTATTATTATTCAGATCAGAGAATAAGACAATTCCGAAAAAATCCTCCTAAGCTACGAATCTTCTCCCCTGTTTCAGCCTTCAGACGATTCCAAATGGATATTTTACGGAAAATTTAAAAAAGTATTCAAATTACTACATACCGTTACAAAAATGAAAAAACTGGGTATTCTTTTAACCTTAATATTTAACCAGTATGAATAAAACTCAGGTTACAGAATTTTAGTGGTAGTCTGAATAAGAGATTCAAAAGTGTTGTTGACATATTGATAGTGATATAGTTTCAAGTTTTGAATTGAGGCCTTAAACTCCGGAATGAACTCACACGCGTTTCCTAACTCACAATTTTATCACATGAACTGATGAACTAAGTGAATTCTAAAATATATGACTTTTACTTTTTATAAATGAAATACATTTTAGGGAAACGCTTTGAAATAAAATATAATACAGTTTAAGTGAAACTAAGACCAATTTAATATGTAATTTACTACTGAGTAGCTGTTACCTGACAATCATATCCTTCAGACAAATATATCTTAAATTATGATGTCTTAGAGACGTTACCATTTCACGTCTGTATCTAATTCAAAGCATAATGGTTAATAATTCCAATAGTGAAAAATTCTCTTTGAAGGAGACACTAATGACGTCAATGTTTTTAATTCACGAAAAATAATCATCAAGATGTGAAAAAAGTAACAAACAGTTCAGGGAAAGAGACCCCTTTTGACGAATTCATCCACTTAGCTGTACAGTTGCGATTATATATATATATATAATTACCTCTGTATGTGTGTGAACTCAATCTGTAAAACATGGCATTTTTGTTAAAATTTTAGGAAACAAAAGTCCATTAGATATAAAAATTCTATTACAAATATATATTTGTACACAGAGTAAATTTAACTATGAGTCTACCAGTTACTTATATCGAATATGCTTATTCGATCTTATTTTGACATGACTGAAGAAACTACACGAATATTCCAGTTTATTTGCAGCCTTACTGATTTATTTTTAGCTATACTTCTCTAAGAAGGTTCAATATGGTTTACATCTTTTAGTTTGGTCAAAACGCAAACTTTGCATTGAAGGGAACTTTTACAAACACCCGCATGTAAGTTAGATGAAAAAATAAACTGGGTAAAATGTGAGGGAGAATTTCATCATGAGCTAACATCAGTCAAAGAACCATTGGAAAACCTAGGAGTACTGGACACAAATCAAACAAAATCCCTACAAAACCAATACTTGAAAATTCATATGATGCTCATTAGCGACTGACCCTATTCAGGCAGTTAACCTGGGGTTCTAGTGGGAAGCCGTGACCAGTAGGGTGCTGCAGGTTGAAGGTGAGACAGTAAACCATCGAAGAAGACATTGCGGAGTCGTCGCGCTATGTCATGAATTGGTAGAAGTTAGAATTCATGGACTGGCTATTGGATCGAGTCCCAGTGGCTTAATGGTCTACGAGCTGTCCTTGTAACTAGAAGGTCCTAGGTTCGAACTCCTGTGGTGGGTGCTCATGAAGTGTTCAAAACTAGAACGGAGGAAACAGCTGTCCAGTACTCCCAGGTAGTTTTCCAATAGTTCTCTAACTGATATCAGCTCATGATGAAATCCGCCAACCAATCAAACAAAATCACTGCAAAACTAATACTTGAAAACTTCTCCACTCCAAAATCATATTCATTATGTAGTTGAATGATTGAAAGAAATTCTGCTAAATAAAGCGCACTTATTAAAGTGTCGGTTGTCGTTTTTTTGGAGTTTTAAACTTCTGTACAATGTAATAAACAGTAAGAAGAAAAATTGTGTGACAGTAGCACATTTTATCGAGTTCTACGTGAACTGATAATTATTTGATTGAAATAAAGTCGAAAAAATATCTAAATGAATTTAAGAATATGTTGAGAAGAAACTGTAAAACATAAAGCCCATATAAGGTTTACAGATACACTTGAATATTTCACAAATAATGCTAAAAATACATAGAAACAGTGTAAACACATTAGAAACAGCAACATTACATCATTCAAAGAGGAATTAATACTTCAAGATATACCTCTGAAAGTATCATTCGAAAATTAGCTGAACGGTGCTAGTGTGTTTTTTATCAGCTACTAAAAACCTCATTACATCATAGAAGTTTGTCACTACTATATATTTATTTGAACCATTTTGGCTGAGTGAATATTTTTTAACATAACTAACATTCTAACAACTTAAAGATCATTAACCCTTGCTGAGTAGTTGCACATTTAAAATCCCTTTACTTTGAGTAATGTGTATTTTGAGTCTGAACTTTAATGCTATACGACTAGGCCTTAATTACTTCAACATATTTTCACAAAATAAAACTGTTGTTTACTAAACAGAAATTGATTTCATTAACCGGTAGAAAGACTGAAGAAGATCTCGGCTTCATGAATGATTTATATCTAAAGTTACACGAACTCGAAGACTTACAGACGAAAACCAACAAACTGGCAGAAGAGGCTGGCAGCGATGACAGGACTCCAAGTAAGCTTCGAGGAGACAGAGATGATGAATACAACCAAGCAACCGACAACGAAAACCAGCACCAATCACTAATACTGAGAGAAATTCAATAGAGGTCATTTCCTTCAATTATCTAAGAAGCATTGTTTCCGCTGCAGGTGGTACTACCGAGGACATCGAAACCAGTCAGAATCGGAATGGCAGGACAGACATTCACCACTATGAAATTAGTGCTGAAGTCTACTGCACTCAGCAAAAAGAACAAGAATCAGACTTTTAACACTAGTGTTAAGTTACTTCTTCGATATGGGTGAGAAACTTGAACTGTGCGACACGAGAAGCGTTTCCAACAGGCTACTGCAGACTTTTGTTAACAGCTTCCTCCCTTCTATATGGAGGATCTAATGGCCGACCAAGAAGAACTAGAAGAAAGAAACTGAGGGAATGAACTAACAGAGAACCTATTGCTCAGCAAATATGAAGTGGAAAACAGAGATGGATTTGGCACACCCTAAGGAAACCATCGAATGGTAGCGCACACCAGACCATCACTCGAGTGGAAACCGAGTGGTAAACGACGATCCGGGTGTTAGTCTCAGGGTGATATAGAGAAGACCGTGTGAGGAGGAAATAAGAGACTATAGGCAATCGTGTGGTCAGATGAAGAGGACTTAAGGAAATTGGACGAAGTGGGAATATGCTGTTGAAGCTCTATATTCTAATCAGAACACATGGAAATAATGATAAATAATATTATCCTAAGTCTGATATTAAATAAACTGGTGGGTGGTGACTAACATCGGAATCCAGAGTGTGTATTTCGTCCTATTTGGAACTCGTCTACTGGATTTGCCTGCATTCCCCAGTGTGTGATGGACGAAATACGCATCCTGAATTACACTGCTAGTTACCACCCACCAGTTTACATCAATTTGAATAACCAGATATCGTCAAAGCATCTGCACAAGGAGCTGACATGTCAACCTGAGGTGAACCAACTGCTTTACATCTGTATATATTGTCACTTCTTTGCATTAGATTATGTACAACTCCATGTTCGTTATGAGTGATGTCATTGAAGAAACTGAAACATCTGAGTTGAAATTCTCAAATGTTGAGCTGTAGGGACTCAGTTTATTTCAGCAGAGAACATCTCTAAATTACACTAGACTAAAGCGAAACAGATGTCAAGAGCCCTGTGGTTTTCAGGGATTCTCCAGCTGAAGTCCGTTCATCATATGTATTCTTGTTGGAAATCAAACTGAAAATACAGAATGTGATAGAAGAATGTAAATTAAATTAAGAGAATTATTCATAATTTTATTCTCATTGAAGGTATAGCATTTGTGAAATAAATGACCGAATGATGTTATCAAATTCAGATTAATACAGAATACAGGTTGAAGAATTATTGAAAACAAAAATTGGCTTTTATCTTGTGATTGTATTTTAACCAATCAAATCAAAACATAATTTCTATGAAGTCAAAATACACAATCTGGTAGTATATATAAGCCTTCACATAAGACTGTGTTCCAATACGTTTTCAAAGTAAACTATGAAAATGAAATTTGTAATAGTAAGTTGAAAACTGCAAACATATATATTCATTGTAAATACTTCTGATCGACTGGAATTCATTTAACTCACTAACCATTCTTTTCATTGATGGTATTTTGCAGGTCTGTTACATCACATTAATTTCTTTATGCTCAGTCAGTTTTGCGGCCAAAAGCTATAGAGATTGCACCAATTTATTGCAAGAGTCATTCCAAGCTTGTTTCAGAAAAGCCTGGTATAAAATAGGTGAGTACTAGTAAAATATGGGAAAAAATATTAAGAAACTGTTGCACAGCTCTGAGTATGTTACTTAAATACTTTTAGTACATTTTATTTAAATCTTCTATCCTGCAACTAATGGAAAAGCTGTATACGATTCCATTAGAAAACTGCTCATCATAGCATTTGTCGTCAAGCCACATGCATTCCCATTTAAATTTCTTATTGATCAAATATAAGTTATACAAGTTGTAAAAGTTGTAAATTCAAAACAACTATGCGTTACCAATTTAACATCCTTAGGTTAAGGAAGCCACTTTCGAAGTGGTCAATGGACACTACACAAATACATGAGAAAAGAATGTAGTTCAACTTTATTTATTGCCTCAAAACTAATATTTGCAACAATAAGTATACAGTATCTATAAACCTATAATTTCACAACAAGTCTCAGTAGATTCGGATAAAGTAATGAAGTATTTATAAAGTCTACTAACATTAGATTTTGAGCATATACAATTTGCTTTGTTGTAAATTCTAAATCCGTTAAATTATTTGCTTAACTGTAAATCAGTTAGTTTACTTCTCAAACATAACTGCCTGCCCATCTGCACTATCAGACAGCTTACCAGCATTAATAAGAATATTTTACACTAAATTATATTTATTATTGTTCCCCTGTGTTCCGAGTGGAACATAGGGCTTCAACAACACATCTCCACTTTGCTGTATTTTCTGTCATTCTCTACAACCGGGTCAACGATTTCCCATAGTCTCCCATCTCCTCCACACACGATCTCCTCGATGTCACCCTCGCACCGACGATCCACTGGTTACTTCCCATTGGGATTCCACTCGAGCCATGGCCTGCATTGAGTCCTATGTCACTCGAATACCTTCTCAACGTTTGCCCAAACCATCTCCACTTTTTCCTAATTATTTGTTGAGCGATCGGCTCTTGGTTGGTTTGTTTCCAGCAAGAGTTTCTTGTTACCAATTCTTTCTGGCTAGCTGGCAATTCGGTCTTCAGTATGGAGCTGTCGAAGTAGGCAGCTGTTGGTGAAAGTCTACAACCTGTTGGAAATCCTTTTCTTGACACGCAGTGAGAGTTTCATACCTATACAGAAGAACTGACTTAACATTAATGTAGAAAATGCGAATCTTGTTCTTTATGCTCCCCGAGTGCAGAAGATTTCCAAACTGATTTCAGGTTGATGAAGGCGTATCTTGCCTTTCTGATTCTGGCTGGCTGGCTTTGATATCTTCATCAGTTTCAACTGACTGTAGTTGAAACGATGCTTCCCAGATAGGTAAAGAAGGTAACCTCTGTTAAATATCTCACGTTGATGGTGATTGGTGCTGATTGTTGTTATTGTTATTGCTGTTTGTTGGTTATCTCCACCATCTCCATTTTCGCTATGTTCACCTGCAGTCCTGTCTTCGCTGATTGCTTCTTCAGTCAGTTGTTGTCTTTCGCCTGTAAGTTTTCGAGTTTGTATGACATTAAACATAAATCATCCACGCGCGAAGTCCAGATCATCTTGAGTCTTCTTATTGGTGGTCAAGCGTATTCCTGCCTTCTCACTCACAGTGCATAGTCTGACACATAATCCAGTCCACCACTAAAGAAGAGTATAAACTATTGTTAGGTGAAGCTAGGTGAATGAAGCTATACGATTTTACAGACCTTATTGTTTTCATATACGCAGTAGCTGAAGTAAGCTGAAGATCAAGTTCAGACTGAATTTTATCATTTTTTACTTAGTAGATTTCAGTTATCATCAATTAAATAGATTTGGACAGTTTTGTTCATTGTTTTCACAATTTTCTTCAGGTTAATACATCAGGCGTAGTTCAATGTTGAACAATAAAAGTATGAACTATTACTCAACATCTGTGTTTCTTATTCTCTCATTTTTCAACAATGGCCGAATTAAATATGTTACCAGTAGGCGAATGACAACGATTAAATGAAGTCTATGCAAAACGATGATCATGATTAAACTGCAGAAATATTTTTTTCCAATCACTGATAATCGAGGGTGAACTGAAAACCTCACTGGTAGGATTCATTTAATCTTGAGTCACCATTGACTAAATCAATTTTCCTCTTCCCTTGTCATGGCTTTCTCGGACACTCTGGCCACCTGATATTACTTTTCTACGATTTGTAAACTAGCTTTTGTATTTATCACCAGCAGTAAACTTGGAGTAGTTAGAAGTTAAAAATGAAAAAGAAGTAATAAGTCTCCAGTATTTCTACTGATGTACAACTATTATTTTAAAACGCTTTTAATTCCAATGAAAATTGTTGCACTTATCATGATTTTTTGTTTGTTTGTTTTGTTTTTCCTATTAGTCAGTGGCAGCTTACCTAGGGATTTTAAGACTCTTGTGAGCAAATGTAAGGCAATTCCAAAATGCAAAATGGCAGCCAAATCATGTATGATGAAGGAACTAGAACACCCCAGATTCAAAGACTGTGCAGCTGCTAAGACTTATTCAAAGTCAATTGATCGTCTTTACAATTAGAAATTATTTTGTTTCCTATGTCTTAATATTATTTACATTTTTATCTCCTGATGTGAATAAACTATTTAGCAATATATATGTGTTTTAGCATCAAATCTGTGGCGGACAATGAATTAAGATAGCTGAACATTTATGCAAATAATACAGTGAATGAGACATCAGTAAAATTATAATCTGACAAATTTAACAAAATTTACTTTAATACAGAGATAAGGAACAATTGTTTGCCTTTCAAACACAAGAACAAGCTTAACAGACATTTTGCACTTCTCGAAACTCGGTTTCTTTTTCTGTCAGTACGATGAGTTCTAAGATCGACTAGTTAGACTACAGATAAACAAATACCCATAAAGTGTGAAGACTAGTATGTAATGTGTCTATCTAGTAAAAGGTACCTCATCTTATTTTGACTGTAGGAAGTCAAACATTAAATCGCATGTTACTGTTATAAAATGGTAATGCACATGTGTACTGCTAAATATAATTATGTCATAAGTCTTCTGTTAAGTGGAGTAGTAAAGTTTCGTAGGATTTTCACTTCCACAATGAATCCAAACTGTAAAGGCTTAAACTAATGATGGCGCAATAAGGTACTTCCTCATTCTAATAAAGAGATCTTTTAATTCTATGAAGCTAATATAAAGCTAATGAAAACTTATTTCCAACAGATAAGACTTTTAACATAGTGTCACATAACGTAACTGAAAAACTGCAATACGGACAGCTTGGTGTTTTTATCAAGAGACTAACTGTGGGAACGTAAATGTAGGCTTTCTGTTAATTAATCTTCGTAATGAGCCATCTTCTCGTTGATTCAAAATTATTTCCCAAAACGCATACTGACTGAAACTTTCTTCCACACATGCAAGGTTGATGTGGTTGTATACTGAGTTAGTTCATTCTGTTAGGCATGCAGCGTCTTCATATTTTCGCATACTTGAATGATGTCGACAGCATATTTTTAATGAAAATAGACCCTAAGAATCAAATCATCAATCAAGTTTTCAACGAATAATTTGTTTAGACATTTCTTTCAAGTGTTAGTTTGTGGTGATTACATTCGTTGCAGTCTTCATCACGAGGTAATATCAGTTACAGAACCACTGGGAAAACAGGGAGTACTGGACAACTATTTCTCCCTAGTCTGGGGACACTTCATCGGTATGCACATATCAGGGTTCAAATTCAGGTAATTTTTGTTACAGCCACTAGGACCCGACACAATGACTCATGAATTCCAACTTCTACCACTTCCCAGAAGAGTTCCATAATAGGACAAAACGGATGTGCAGTACTCCCTGATTTCCCATTGGTTCTCTAGCTAATATATATACACCAGCCAGCCATAGTGATAATTGCAAGTGTGAGAGAACAACCTCTTACCGAAGATAACTCCTCCTGGTAATATGTACCTGGGCATATTACTGACAGTAGTGTCCATATCATCCCCTTTATCAATAAATCGCCTATTATTTTTCGTTTGAGTCGATCTTCTACTTTTCCATTCTTGAGCTACATTTTTTCTACCATTACTTCAATGTGCTCAATAAATTCGATCTGAGAGATCCAATTTAACTCAACACATACATCGAGAATACAAACACATTTTATTTAATAAACCACACTATCATATTGAGATACAGGAAAATGTTATAATTACATGGATGCCAAATGTCGCCGAGACTTAGTGCATCATTTGAAACGTAAAAGCGTAATGTAAATTTGGTTCGTCAGGCAAGTGAAAAAACAGCAAAACACATTCAAATGACGATATTTACTACATAAGTATTCGTGAACCCTTTCAATATAACTTAATTTGGACAAGAAAAGACATTTATTCAGGTAATATGAATGCCTCTTATGTTAATTTGCCTTCCCCAATACACTTGGCTTGTGGCTCATCTTAAACTTTTGCAGTCGCTTAGTTAAATGAAACACCCCACAATAAGTTTCATTGTCACACATCAGTTTACTAAATAAGATAGTAGATGGACATAATTTCTTTCTTTCTTACAGTACATGAAATTTATTTATGTCAAATGTTGTTCAGATGAATGACGACATTCTGTGTAAAATAATAAAAACAAACTTGAATGGACTTGCTTTCATCTGTGTAACACCAGAAAGCTAAAAGTTGAATAAAAAGGATTTTGGGTAAACATTTCTTCACACTTACTTGTTAGTTACATTGAAATAGAAAAAACAAAAATGATTCCTTGTTTTTTCATTTTATTTACTCAATTATTAGAACATCTCTATTAGTGTTTAACTAGTTCATTAAGGCAATAGTATAGTATCCCCTATCGGCTCGTATTGATATGTTTTATCAGATGTGTTAGTAGAGCGCGAGATCATCTAGTAGGTATTGACACCATAATTCCACTGATGAAGTACAATATAAGAGATATACATTTTATGATTTGTTTACAAACTGCTAAGTGATTTTACATTAGTTTGCCTGCAGTGAATACAAAAACAATAACTCACTAAATTGCATAGTAGGGCGGACATATAAAGCATCCTTGTATCATTGAAACAATTATCTGATATCTACTAAACACTTTAGCAGTATCAACTATCATCTGAGACGTTTTGCGAGTAATATATGACTTTAGAAAAATGTCTTTAAAGTTTATTTCTTACTCTACAATTCCATGTCGTATAAAATATTTATCATTCATTGTAAGTTTGATCGCCAGCTGATATCAGTTAGGGAAACACCGAAAACCAGGGAGCACCGGACAGCTACTTCATTTTTGTTTGAGATTCTTCATCAGTACTTACCGACCAAGGTCAGAACCTAGGATTTTCCGGTTACAATGTGAGCTTGTAGACCATTCAGCCTCTGGGACCCGGCTCAATGGCCCACGAATTCCTACTTCTACTCATTCGTGATTTTAGCACGATTACTAGCCAATGTCATCGGAGAGCACTTGTCCCGACGCCTGACACAGAGGGCACGAAAGGTCACGACTTCTCATTAAAATTCCAGTCAACTTCGACGGACAGCCAGTTACTAGCGAGGATCCGATTAATTTTCAAGAGTTAGTTTGTAGGGATTCGATTTGCTTCAAGTTTGACCACGAGCCGACATCAGTATGTGCATTTAAACAAACTATTTAGATTACTTTAGCAAAAATTTTCATCTAGTTGACGTAGCCGAGGTTTCAAGTGCATATCTTATTTATTTCTTCATATTCTTTAACTAGAAACCAGACTACTAGGACAGAATTTCTTTGGTTGATTTTGTGAGAAATTTTAATATATCTCCTTAAATTTCCTATTTGAAATACACACTAGGAGTTGAATAAACATTAGCATAATACTAACTTATACAGAAATATAGTATTCTTAACGAAAACAAATATTAAGAAGTCACTAATTCCTGCATATGCTATCAATAGCTCAAACGTCCCAACATGTCCTTCATTAGGTAAATAAAACATCTGTTTAGGGTAAGAACATATGAGATAAGTCAAATAAAGGATATCAACAAACAAATACAAGGTAAAAAAGATAATATAAAGGAGTAAGGAGAAGTCTCTTAACTAGGCAGGATGATGGAATAAAAGCACGAAAATTGTCAGTAGCTTCACACTTTGTTTATTATAATATGTTGGAATAAAAATTTTTTTGATAGACCCAAGGATTATTTAAATTTAGATTCCTAGCAAAGATAAGTCCTGAAATTATTCGGATGAATTCTTTTCAAAAACAAGTAATCTCAAGCTGCTAAAAACAACTTATTTATGGGGTTTGTAGGGATTTGAATTATTTTCACTGCGGACTTCGTCAGATATCAACATCAGTCAGTATGTAAAGGATGGATGTCCTGAAATTCTTGTGAGAAGCCATGGCAGTGAAATCTAACATGTCATAGTGAAAGGGATGCTAATAAGTGGCACTTGTTGGCGTTAACGCAACATCGCAAATTGACAGAAGTTTGTATTCATGGATGATGGAATTCCGAACCATAGGCTGAGTGGTCAAAAGGATAGCTTTGTAATAATAAGGCCTTGGGTTAGACCACTAATGGAGTAACTGATGTATACCTCTGAAGAGTTCTGAGCTTGAACGAAACAGCTCACCAGTGCTCCCTGGTTTTTAGTGACTCTCTGAATGATAAATCTACATCAAAATTTAATTTTGTTCCTAAAACACTTTAGTTGTCATCATAAAATCGAATCTAAATATAAGTCGTTTCATAATTAGTTTTAAGTCAGGGTTGAAAAGTTTTCTTAGGAAGACATGTAACAGAAGCCGTGTCACCAGTTTCATCCTTAGTTCGTCGACACAAAACAGAATATTCAAGTGTTGGTTTGTAGGGATTTGATTGAATGGTTACAGGATTTTATCGTGAGCTGACATTGGTTAGAGAATCATTGGAAAATCTGGGAGTACTGTTGGGTGCATACTGATGAAGAGTCCAAAACTGGGACAAGACGGCTATCCAGTACTCCCACGTTTTCCAGTGGTCAGCTCACGATGAAATCCGGCAAAAAAACAGAATAACTAGTGTAGATACTCTTGATATGTAATCAACTAAACACTGGTAAACCTCATAAACGTTGATTTATCACTCTGTATTTGGCTGAAAATTTTCAGTCAAATCCAAAGAATCCAAAGCATTCTTTGTTGAGCTAAGTGTCAATGTCAATCCACTTCCACTAGTTCAATTCACCTGAAGACAATAAACAAAACAACTGCTAATAATAGTTTCAGTTTAGTGGTATTGCATTGTTGAAAACAAGAATAATTACTTTTCAATAACTTTTCCTCATGGGCTATAATTATAAATGGATTAACTTTAACATGGAAGAGCTATTAAATATAAATCAAGGTTGAATCAGAAACTGTATTGTTGTACAAGTACAAGTACAGGATGGGGTAATAGTCAGTTATCCTGTACCATACATTGTTATTGCTTTGCTCAAATAGTCAATCAGTATTGATTATCTTTTAAATACGTACAAAATGTAAGGTCAGTAAGAATATGAGCTCAATAATTGAATATCATGTTTGTGAGTTTATAAACAAAAAAGTATGGGATTCAAGGGATAACTTGTAGTCAGTA